AACAAAACTTATTGGACAAATAAATATATGAAAAAGTCTCTAAAGGTCCATTGATTTAATAATGGAAATTTCTTGGGTGAAATTTGAAAAATGTGTCACGGTCATTTTTATATTATATCTATCAATTTCTCTATCACTGAATAATTATTACATCCAATACTTTTACTGGAAAGCTGGTGGAATCCAGATGAAGATTCTCACAGGAAAAAAGGCTCACAATGAAACATCTTCTCCAATATCACAGAGGATATTGAAAACCTTATCTTTCTGGCCTAAGGACTTAATTGTTTAATGAGTGCCATTGAGTTGACATGACCCAACCACTGTATTGAAGGAAAAAGGAAAAAGCAGCTCAGCTTGACTTTGAAGATCCACTGTGCTATTACAGGCCTTATGAGTTCCCTTCCCTATTTCAGAAGCAAGTGCAGATTCAGTAATCCCACTAGTAAAGTGTGATACATAAGTGAAGGGGACTAGTATGTACAAGATAGCAAGTGTAAATATAAACATGGACATGTGAACAAAAGAAATGAACACAAATAAATGAGGACAGTAGGATATGGATGGTAAGCACTCTTATGCGCTTATGCATTCCTTCTTTATGGACTTCTTAGGAATGGGGTGAGATCCACGGTAGAGAGTTTAAGGTTGAAGTTTAAGAGTTAGAGGATGTAACAATGGAGTCAGGTAGAGCATTCCAGGCATTAACAACTCTGTTGCTGAAGTCATATTTTCTGCAATGGAGTTTGGGGCTTTTCCTTGAGTTTGTATCAATTGTTTGCTTGTGTATTATTGAGGTTGATGCTGAAGAAGTCACTTACAGGTAAGACGTTGCAACAGACAATTTTGTGTACTGTGCTTAGATCATACTGAAGGTGGCACAGTTCCAGATTGTCCAAACCCAAAATTTCAAGCCTGGTGGCATAGGGAATTCTATTATGAGTACAGGAGTGGGCTACTCTTCTCATGAATTACCTCTGGACCCACTCAATCATATAATGTCCGATATACAGAGATAATACTGGCAGACATGTTGTATTCGAGAATTGGTCTGGCAAAAGTTCTGTATGCCCTAGTTAGCAATACAATATTACCGAGAAGAAGCTTCACAAAATAAGTTTAAAAACTCTTGATGCCTTTTTGGCAATGCTGTTACAGTGGGATCTGGGCTTAGATTATTTGAGATCAGTACACTTAGGTCCTTGACAGAGTGAGGGTCATCTACATGGTCGTTTCTGCCCAACTTGTATTTAGTGTTCTGATTTTTATTGCCAATGTGTAAGACAGAACATTTGTTAGTCGAGATTTGGAGTTGTCAATTGCGTGACCATTCAGACACATGGTCAAAGTTGTTTTGTAGGGTAGCAGCATTGTCCGTGGTTTTGAATCATTTTATGTCCCCTGTGAAGATTGAGAGAGATTGCGAGATTGAGATTGAGATGCTTTATTTGTATGCCGCCCTTTTCCCTGGGGGGACTCAGGGAGGCTCACAACTCAAACAAGTCACAAACATGAAAAACAATACATCATTAAAAACACAACAGTCATACAATTCGAGTGGGGTTAAAATNTTGTTTTGTTTCCCCAATGTACTGATCTGCACATGGCTCACTGCAATGTACCACGTTGCTCAGTTTCTGTCTAGGTCTTTTATTCTTGGGGTGGACAGGTTTCTGCCCTAGTGTATTTTGGGGGTTGAAGTGTGCACATATGTTGTGTTGACTGCAGATCCTCCTTCCGATATGCCTGCAACGTACGGAATGATAACGTTGATTTGTTTATTGTTCTCGCCATTGTCTTGTTACAGAGGAGCTTCTGTAGGGTTTTTTTTTTTTGAGATTTGATGAAGGCCCATTGGGGAAACAAAACAACTACTTCATGAATGCATGGCACAACATAGGAGAACAAACAGGACTAGATTCAGCAGAACATCATGTCTCTCCAATCTACAGCACAGTCCTTTCAACAGTTCAAAAAGGTGGCTCCACCTCCATTTGCACCACTCAGGTGACTCTGAAGACACAGATAAACCTCCAGGTGACCTTAACGACCCTCTGAAAGGATGCAAATGACCAGCTGTCTGCAAGGAGTATCAATCCTTCCATTCCATGCCATCCAGTCACAGCTGAAGAAGCTTCTTGAATGAGAGGCGAAACGCCTTCAAAAGAAAACCCCCAAAGTCCAGTTGCCTCTTGAAAAAAGCACCTTTGGGACAACCAGGGACCTGGATAACTGAGAATCTCCATAGACTAATTGGACACTTTGACCTGTGACACTGAGGGAGGGAATTATCTACTCTTTAATTATACAGAAACAACGGGAAATATTTAGAGCTGGCTTTATTTTTATCCGTGCTGAAATGATGTACTCAATAAAACAGTTCTTTGAGAAAGTTGAAAGTCTCGGCGTGCTGAATTGGTTGGGTTCATTAGTCGGGAACTTTGACATCTGGCTTCCCCCATCGATTTTGCTTGTCAGAAGCTCTCTAGGAAGGTCGCAAATGAGAATTCCAGGATACCGGGATGTTGAAACCATCATAAATGCACGCTAGTTCCCAAGCACCCGAAGTCTGATCACATGACTGCGGGGGTTGCTGCAGTGGTCGTAAGGGTGAGAATTGGTCTTACGTTTTTCAGTGCCATTTTTAACTTTGAACGGTTGTTCAACAAATGGTTGTAAGTCGAGGACTACGGTAGCTGTAATCGGGACACACCAATTTTAGCTGGCTTTACAAACAGCATACTTTATTAGGGATTGCTGAGGGATATCAATAAACTTTGCAGTTGACCTATAAAAGATCAGGAAGGACATATAAAGTGATATGAAAGCATTTCCTTTAATAAAGTTAGTTAGGTGCCGTCAAAGCAAGATTATTGACTCCTTGTGATTCTAAGACCGAATGCTCAGCATCTTAACCTGCCTTTGGCAATATCTGAAAGTTAATCCAAAAATCTTCTTGATCCTGATCGTCTATTTTCCCTGATGTCTTCCTTTTCTGCTTCTCTTTTCACCCTTGTCTGTCTATCCTTTCATCCCTCACATCGCCTGTCTAAGTAAGTGAGTTTTTCCTTGTTGATCTTTGCTCCCAGAGATCAACATCTGGCTTTTGTTTGATTAACAGTTGATCAACAGCTGTTGATCAATCCATGTGCTTTTAGAAATCGCTTCCAAAAACCATAATTCAAAGGCATTATCTTCTTTCACTCATTCCTTCCCTGAATCCAACTTTCACAGCCACTCCCAAGTATGAAGGTGGATGGTTCCAAAATATAATAAATAAAAAACAAATTACCACCGGGAAAAACCAATGTTTTACGTGTTCTGATCTTTATTAAAATTGAAATGTCCTGGTCCTTCATAGTCTTGTTCATGATTGGTTGTTTATGTAAACCATGTAAGACACAATCTAAAAAATAAAATAAAATTCCAAGTTTTAATAATACCGGAGGTAACGGAAGGCATAAGACTTACCCAGGGATAATATATGCTTATAGTTTTCCTGCATGACATCCTTGTAGAGGGCTCTTTCGTTCACATTCAGCAAGGCCCACTCTTGCTCAGAGAAATGCATGGCCACCTCTTCAAATGAGACCTATTGGAAATAGGCAACATCTTTAATTCCTGACAGACCCTTCTAGCAACTTCACAGTCATATATTGCCTAGTCCCATGATGGCAAACCCATGGCACACGTGCCACAGGTGGCATGCGGAGCCATTTCTAAGGGCACGCGAGGCGTTGCCCTGACAACTCCAGTGTGGATGCGCATGCTGGCCAACTGATTTCGGCCTTGATTTTTGGCCGTTTTTCTCCCTCCGGAGGCTTCCCTGAAGCATCTGGAGGGAGAAAAACAGCCAATGGGCAAACTGGAAGTCCGTTCCCAAACTTCCAGTTTGCGTGTTGGGCCATTTTTCACCCTCCAGAGGCTTCAGGAGGCTTCCCCGAAGCCCCCAGAAGATGAAAAACGGCCCAACGTGCAAACTGGAAGTTGGAAAATGGGCCATTTCCGGCCTCCAGGGGGGCGGGGAGGTCTGGGGAGGGCAAAAAATGGGTCTACCATGCCATCGCGTGCCAAAAGTGGAGGTTGGGGGGTGTCACACGTGCATGCGCAGTGGAGTCACATGCATGTGGGGGGGCGCATAGGATTATGGGTGTGGGCACGCACAACACCACCCCGCGTTCCCCCTGCTTTTGGCATGCGATGGCAAAAGGTTTAGCCACCACTGGCCTAGTCTGAAAACACATGGAAATTTGGAATAGGGCCAGGAACTGAAGGAAGAATCTGCCAAACCATCTGGGTAGGGTGGTCAAGGCAGCATCTTTCTCCTGCTCATAATGACTGACAGCAGAGTATGATCCAGTTTTTCTGGGCTGGAGGCTTTGAGTGATTTGGGACCCACAAAAATCAAAAACCACCGTGGCGCAGCCAAGATTCTATTTGACTGCATTTCCTTTACATATGTTCTAAATTTAATACACACGATTCCCAATCATGTATTTAATATTATTGTATACCATATTAAAAATTGAAATGTGGCTACTGGGGTACTTGTAGTCTTCCAGTCTCAGGCTGCACACCTCTAATATTAGACTATTACTAGAGAAAGGAAAATACCGTATTTTTGGAGTATAAGATGCACCAGAGTATGAGACGCACCAAGATTTTGAAGAGGCAAATTTTTTAAAAAAGTTTTTGCACTCTGCAGACCTCCCCAAAACAGCCCATTTTTCGCGAAAATGGGCCCGTTTTTGTAAAAAAAAAAAAAAAAAGGCTGTGCATAGCCTTTAGGCAGCTTCCAGAGTGCTCCTGGGGGCTGCGGGGGCAAAAACGAGCGAAAAATGGGCCTCCCCAGCCCCCAGGAGCACTCTGGAAGCCTTTAAAGGCTATGCATGGCCATTTTTGCAAAGGGGGTGGGGTTTCAGGAGGCCAAAAATGCTATATTCAGTGCATAAGTTGCAGATTTTCACACGCTTTTTGGTTGAAAAAGATGCATTTTATACTCCTTAAAATATGGTAAATGAATACGCTCTTAACACTACTGAATAATGTAGTTCAGCTGCCATATCTTTTCTTTCCTTTTTTTCCCATCCTGCCCCACAAACTGAACAGCACCAAGAATCGAGGCTATGATTTCATAGCTGAAAACATAGCTCCGATTAGAGTATATGTGGATAACTATTATTTATTTATTTGATTTATTTTTATCCTGTCACAATCTTGGCAACCACAATTTTAAAAAAATTACAGGATTTAAATAATTCACCATACAAATTGCAAACACAAGATCAAAGCTAGGAGAAAATAAGAAGAAGAACAACAAGAGGCATGGGTGATTTTACTGAAAGTTTCCCCCCAAAAGCTGTTTTTAATCACTTTAAGTCACCCGGGAGGTAGCTTAAATATCAATGGGGAGCCCATTATGTAGTCCTAGTTGCTGCTACATAGAAAGCAGCACCTTTTGTCTCCTCTGACATTCCAGAAATGTGGGTCAACCACCAGCCGCAGCCAAAATTGCCAATTTAAAAAAAAACAAAAACCAATTAGTGCAAAGGAAGGAAAACATCCTCTAGTGTTCCCTTTTCTGATTGTTGAGCCTTGTTAACTGTATTTTGTTACAAAAAGAGCACATTTCAACATTTTTCACACGAATAAAGCAAATGACAGAGTGTTTTCTTCTACATCTTGTGTTTGTATTTTTGTTTTCCCAAATACAGCCCAGAGGTGACGTTCAGCCAGTTCTGACAGGTTCTGAAGAACCGGTAGCGGAAATTTTGAGTAGTTTGGAGAACTGGCAAATAGGCTGGCCCCACCCCTGATGCCTCCCAGCCTCCAGCTGATCTTCTTTTGTTGTCCTGAACAGAACGGAGCTGGAAAGCAGGTTTAGTGGGGTGGGAAGGGAATGGAGATTTTGCAGTATCTTTCCCCTGCCACGCCCACCAAGCCATGCCCACAGAACTGGTAGTAAAAAAAATGGAATCCCACCACTGGTACTACAGCCTCACATATATAATATGCCTACCTGTCGAAAAGTCACAGAGCTAGAATAGGGTGTTACCAAAAGTAGACAAGGCGCGATTTTGCTTTCTTTCAGAGCAAGAAGGATGCCTGGAAATTACAGAAAACATTAACATGAGACAGTAACTAGTTTATCTATTCCTCTCTAAAAGAGGAATGCATCTAGAATTCCTGGTATTTCATAAATTCTGTAATAATACAAAAAACAAGAAGATGGCTCACCCAGTGACATCACATGTTCAAAGTTCTCCTTCATGACATCCCTGTAGAGGACCTTTTCACCGACATTTAGCAAGGCCCACTCCTGCTCTGTGAAATGCACAGCAACCTCTTCGAATGCCACCTACACCGCAAAGTAATGGCATCTTTATTTCATAACAGAAGAGCTTCTATTCCCACCCTTAACACAATCACAAGTCACTACCAAGCTCTGCAAAATTATGAAAGCTGCAAGTGAGGCTAAGCCTTAGGGCAGTGGTGTCAAACTCAAGGCCTGCGGGCCGGATCCGGGTGCTTAGATCTGGCCCACGGACCCACCCTGGAAACAGCAAAGGATCGGCCCACTTTGGCTATGCCAGGAAAAACAGAGCTCAGGGAGACCATGTCCTGCCCAGGCTCTGTTTTCGGCCCCAACACCCTCCTGCAGCCCTCTGCCAACAAAAACGGAGCCCGGGGAGGCTGTATCTGCCCTCCCTAAGCTCCATTTTGGCTGGCAGAGGGTTGCAGGAGGCCATCCTGGCTGAAAATGGAGCCTCAATGACTGATGTTGAGTTGCCCACACCCCCTGGCTACAGCACGCACCTACACATATACACACACACGCACACACACACACACACCGAGATCAAATACCATCCTGATGCAGCTGTTAATGAAGTAGAGTTTGACACCTTTGCACTAGGGCTTATATAGTTCAGGCCAAATGATTGTTTGTCTTGCTCTATCCTGATACAGGCAGGATATACGTTTATACTTTGCAATTGAACGAACTAAGAATGAAGAACTGTGGAAGCAAGTAAATAACAATAACAACAAAAATCATATAATTACACAATTGCCCAGGTAGTCCTTGACTGATAACCACAACGCAGCCTGCCCCTCATCGTCATAAGTTGTGATGGTTGTAAAATGGGTCACTGACATGAAGTGAACACGGCAGTAATAAGCTTATTCACTAATATTCCTATTATTTGCTAGAATGTGAAATTAAGTGTATATAGGTATTATATGATACCTGTATTGACTTATGCAAACAATTGAACTCAAAATTTATGTTGCTAAGCAACATAGTTGTTAAGTGATTTTTGCCCATTTTACAACCTTCCTGCCACAGCTGTTAAGTGAATCACTGCAGTTGTTCCACAGTTGTTAAGTGAGACTGGCTTCCCCATTGACCTTGCGTGTCAGAAGGTCGCAAAAAGTGATCACACCATCCCAGGACACTGCAACCATTATAAATACATGCCAGTTGCCAAGTGTCCAAATTATGATCACATTGGCATGGGGATCTCCACAACAGTTGTAAGTGAAAAAGGATTTTCAGTGGCATTGTAAGTTTGACCAGTCACTGAATGAATAGTTATAAGGCAAGGACTATCTGTAGTTTACATACTATATTAAGTCTCTTCTTTTGTGTGTTGATACATACACTGACTTCTTTCATGACTTTGGCCACTGTGTCCAGATATGCTGGAACAGTTTGATTAAGAATCTTTACCTATCTTTGATAGCTTGCTACATTTCTCTAGCTTTCCAATTTGGTAATGAGTGCAATGTTGACTTAACTTTGTCTCCTAGTACTAGAGATTTGGAAAACAGGGAACATCTTGAATGTTGACATTCCTACTGTACATAATATTTCAATGAATTCCTTTATCTGACCTTCAATGAACCAATTATTATCTCTTTATGAAGAGTCCTTAGCGTGCCCATTCAAGGACAGAATCTTCTAAGATCTTTGTTCTTTCTTCCCTTTGGTTTTTCTTTTCTTCTTAGAATTTTGACTACCTATTCTGACATTCAGTTTGCGTTCTTTCTTTTTCTCCCTTTGACTCCTTCTTTTCACATTCAACCTTTAACAATTTATTCTTCTTCTTCCAATTTAGCTTGAATTGGAACTTGCATAGGAGCAGTTTATACACACACACACACACACACCACACACATATCATACATACATACATACATACATATCATACATACATACATACATACATACATACATACATACATACATACA